CAATTTGATTAAAGTATTTAACAGATAGATTGAATGTGGTGATTTGCATGTCGGAGAAATAATTATGCAATCTTGCATTGGCTGGAGTTTATGTATAAATATATAGCACTCAGTGCAGTGGAAGAAGTGTTCACCGAATTTCACTTGGGGTAGACATAATTTTGACGCTTTAAACGACAAACAACTTTAGGAATCAAAAGTAACTTATATTTTTATTCCAATATTGTCAGGATTTAAATACAGCAAATAAAAAAGTTATATGTCAGAGGTCACATCTCCATATTAGCCTAGATAATTACTTTCACAGGAAATGATCTCCATGCCTCTGGATATTAGCTTATTATGTCAGGATTATAGCACTAATTGTAGCAAGTCAAAATAGTGTTTGAGGTCACCTCTCCATAATTTGCCTGGCTAGAGGATTGTCTCTAAACAGAAAACCACCTCTCCTTGACAAAAAAGGCAATAGGATCTCTCATCACCTAACTTTGTTATTTTCAGTAATGTCAGGATTTTAGCATTGATTGTACCAAGTCAAAATAGTGTTTGAGGTCACCTCTCCATAATTTGCCTGGCTAGAGGATTGTCTCTAAACAGAAAACCACCTCTCCTCGTCAAAAAAGGCAATAGGATCTCTCGTCACTAACTTTGTTATTTTAAGTTATGTCAGGATTTTAGCATTGATTGTACCAAGTCAAAATAGTGTTTGAGGTCACCTCTCCATAATTTGCCTGGCTAGAGGATTGTCTCTAAACAGAAAACCACCTCTCCTCAACAAAAAAGGCAATAGGATCTCTCATCACTAACTTTGTTATTTTAAGTTATGTCAGTATTTGCACTAATTGTATCAAGTCAAAAAAAAAAATAATTACAATAAATGTCAGAAGTCGCCTCTCCATAGTTTGCCTGACCAGGGGATCGTTTCTAATGAGAAAACCACTTTAAATTGTTATGATGTGTTTTAGACTCCAGAGAGCAAGTTTTACCTTTTACATAATCCCTAATAGTAAGGCCCTGGGCATGATGGAAATATTTAACCGAAGTTAGATAGGTAGTAATCAGCTTTGCAATTTGAATTTGTTTATATTGGAACTGGTTATATTACTGACAGACTGTTACTGTTTGCATATCCTTAATTCATCTTGCTTACACTGCTGTAGTTAATCTTAATATCAAAGGAAAATTATCAACCATACATAACTTTTTTACTTATTCTCTTGCTCATAGCGAGCCAGTCCAGGCCTTCCCAACTACCAGACTCGGCACCTACGGGTCTAGAATAAACCGGTATATCTGACCACACTACCCGTTTTCAAGGTGTGTGTCAGATCGCATAAAAGAGTATCATACCCTATCACAAATTCTGTAAGCCTACCTGTCATCTGGGTATCGCGCCCCGTTTTCGTCAAGTAGGAGTCGNGGTTATACATGTAGGTTAACAATTTTTATTCTAGCTGCAGACTGGGAATTCATGTATAACAGGAGCACGGGAACGCAGCCTTCTTTTAGATGTTCATCTCTTTTCTTGTGACGACAGGCACTCCTTTTTCTTCTTGTGACGCCCCATTCCTTTATAAAAGAAAAGACATTGAATAATAGAGACATAACAAAAACACATGACAATATTTTCTGAGAGCCTTAATTCTTTTCTATAATTAGCAACTGCAATAGAGAGTGCTGTTTTAAATGGTGTCATTTTCGGTTGTATAAGGCTGTATTCCAAGAGTTTTTAGATCAATCTATCCCCGGGGTGGGGGGGGGGGTCTCCCTAGATTACTGTCAGATAATCCGGCTTAAATGTCCGTCCAGCCTACTACAAGCTGTAAGGGGGTAATTAACTTTCGTGTCCCCTCGGCTGACAGCTATTTCGCGTGAACCCCCAGGGAGTTAGGTCGATCTAAATTATATCAATCTAATCTCTGGAAATGGGGTCTAAGACGAATCCATCCCCTTTCACATTAAAGCACCCCCTTGTAATCCAACAAATGGGAATATTCTAACACTTTTAAAAATGACAACCCCTTGTTGTTACCCCGTATCGTGGACGTGCATGCACATGTCATATATTTCCAAAGTTCACAGTGAGTAACAGGTCAAACGTTAGAACAGACAAAAGCCAAGCCCTATGAAACTCAGTATAACTCGATCCTTTCTCGAGAGACGACTTAATTACCTTGCAACATGCAGTGCTTCGAGAAAGATTCCCGCTTTAATCACAGAAGCATGCTTTGGCTCTAATTTGTGTTAACACACACTGTGAGAACATTACTGAAATCACTATATCACCTACCTTGTAAAACGATGACCGGCTGCCCCGTGTCTAGTGATCTATATTATTGTGTCTTGCTGTTTTTAGTCTTGAGTAAAACACGAAGTAAAAGGTTGCCGTGCGCGCTTTTCTGTCATTAATACTGCGCTATAGGTCAATGGTAGAGAATCGGCGCGAAAGATATCCCATTACAGACTATCTGCGCATGCGCAAGGCCAGGCGGTTGAAAATGCGCGGACTGAAAGACNAGCCTTAATTCTTTTCTATAATTAGCAACTGCAATAGAGAGTGCTGTTTTAAATGGTGTCATTTTCGGTTGTATAAGGCTGTATTCCAAGAGTTTTTAGATCAATCTATCCCCGGGGTGGGGGGGGGGGTCTCCCTAGATTACTGTCAGATAATCCGGCTTAAATGTCCGTCCAGCCTACTACAAGCTGTAAGGGGGTAATTAACTTTCGTGTCCCCTCGGCTGACAGCTATTTCGCTTGAACCCCCAGGGAGTTAGGTCGATCTAAATTATATCAATCTAATCTCTGGAAATGGGGTCTAAGACGAATCCATCCCCTTTCACATTAAAGCACCCCCTTGTAATCCAACAAATGGGAATATTCTAACACTTTTAAAAATGACAACCCCTTGTTGTTACCCCGTATCGTGGACGTGCACATGTCATATATTTCCAAAGTTCACAGTGAGTAACAGGTCAAACGTTAGAACAGACAAAAGCCAAGCCCTATGAAACTCAGTATAACTCGATCCTTTCTCGAGAGACGACTTAATTACCTTGCAACATGCAGTGCTTCGAGAAAGATTCCCGCTTTAATCACAGAAGCATGCTTTGGCTCTAATTTGTGTTAACACACACTGTGCGAACATTACTGAAATCACTATATCACCTACCTTGTAAAACGATGACCGGCTGCCCCGTGTCTAGTGATCTATATTATTGTGTCTTGCTGTTTTTAGTCTTGAGTAAAACACGAAGTAAAAGGTTGCCGTGCGCGCTTTTCTGTCATTAATACTGCGCTATAGGTCAATGCTAGAGAATCGGCGCGAAAGATATCCCATTACAGACTATCTGCGCATGCGCAAGGCCAGGCGGTTGAAAATGCGCGGACTGAAAGACAGTGCAGGCCGGTCACAGAAGATAATTTCCAAGCCACCGTATTGATTATGGTCGACTTCTTTGCAAGATGGCAATTGTTGCGGCGATAATTTAACTGACGAGGATGAAGAGAATGAGTAAATGCATCAGGTAGGTCTAATATAACATGTGAATCAATCATATTTAAGGGAACATACAACCGTGTCACGGAAGCCCAAGATGGGTTTTATGCACGGAGAACAGACCGCGCCGAAAAAAGGTTATCACGATCGTGAAACAGTTGTTAATCAAACACTCTGACCTATGTATTAGAACACTGCAAAAAGTTTACGTCAAAGTAAGGCCCCGCGTACAAGTAAAGATTCTGTACATGTATATAACTGGCCTGTATTAATCCCATATAGTCGACCTACATTCCTTGACCTAAATTCCAGGCAGTGTTATATAATCAATGCACTGGTTCACTCGCAGGGTTCATACCCCGGTACAGCACTTTGAGTGTTTGAATCTAGTATTGCCCCTTGTACATGTATTCAGTCTGTTTATGACATAAAAAGTACTTGAAATTGTTATTAAGCTTAGAAAGGGCTTGTATTCATCATTTTTCCCTAAAATATTCTGGGATTTGATCAGTTAGAATTTGTCGAATGATTATTTCAAACCTTGTTTTTAACCTGAATGTAGACATGCTGGGGGAATGCCCTTTTTAATCTGTCAATTTTTTTCTCATGTTTCATTATCATTTAAGTACAAAGTTTGTGTAAATTGATGCTCCTCTTTTCTATGTAAACTTTAAAAATGACAGTAAGACGCATTGAGTTATTGAAAAGTTATTGATTAAGAGCCCCAGAAGTCATTTAAATTGCTTTTATGTTGCTGTATGGACCCTGAGCAGTAATCATGAATATCTTCATCATTGTATGACAATGTAGTTATTTCAGCATTCATATTTTCATAAATGAAAACTTTTTGTATGATATTACACTAAAAGAATTCACTATCTTAAAATCACTATTTCTTTTCCAGATGCTATTAAAAGACAGGCTGTCTGAACAGCATATAAAAGCAAACAAAGTGGATGAGCTAAGGCAAAAAAAATTGGAAGAGAAGAATGGGGTATGTAATACAGGAGCCTATCTCAGTTCTGTGCAAGGCTCAATCAAGTTGCCTAGCAGTAATCATGAATGCATATTTTCATCATTACTTGTAGTTATGTCATTATTCATATTTCCCTAATTGAAAACTTTTTGCATGATATTACACTCAAATAGTTCACTCTTTTTATTTCTTTACTAGGTGCCATTAAAAGATACTACAGATCTGAAAAGTAGGAGGATGTTCTAAAACAAGCAAAAGGACTGGATGAGCTGAAACAAAAAATATGAAAAAAAAAGTAAGGAGGTAAAATCTCTTTTTTAAGCCGTTTGATGGCTTTAAGTCCATAATTTGAAAATACTTCTAACATCATTATTAGACATAAAAGTTGCCCTTGTTTTTATCATATTTGATTAGCATTAAAATGAACTGTTACCCAAAACAACATTTATCATTACATGCATCCTATTTTTCAGGAGGCAAAAGGCAAAGATTTGTGCAGGCAAAGTGTTCACTTGACAGACGATTCCAGGAATACTACTCCCACGAGAGTGGGAGGTTACGCATATATAGTAGGACTAATGGATCTGGCTGAAAGTACATTTAGAGAACATTTCCTGGGCCTTTCTTGGATTATCAAAACAAGAAAATTAAATTTCCTTGGATTATCAAAAACTTTCAAAAGACAAGCACAACCTGCACAAAAATGTTATAATGGAATAAATTATTAAAATTTATACCATGTGTTGTTCTGTTTATCAATATATTATTAAATTGCCGCAATAAATATTACATTAAAATACGTAACAAAAGACGAAAAAATACAGTCTTTTCTTAAATAAAAAGGTTTGGAAAGGTTATCTTTTGTATCTGGAAAGTTGCACAAAAGGCATCTGAAAGTTGGACTTTTTGTCAGGAAAAGGTAGAGAAAAGTGGATCATTCATATGCCTTTTAGCATACAAAAAGCTGATGAATGATGAACTTGAGAATACCTTTTCTTCAAGCAAAAGATCGTCTTTTTACATCAAAAGGTTTATGAAAGTTAATCTTTTGTGTAGAGAAAAGGTAAAGAAAAGTGGGCCATTTGTATACCTTTTCGCTTATACAAAAGTCATTCAAAAGATCGTCTTTTACACCTTTCCTAAAAAAACGAAAGGTCTAGGAAAGGTGTGAGAAGGTGAATAAAAGGAGGCCTTTTGATCATCTTTCAGGATATATAAAAGCTGATTTTTCATGCAGTGAGTAGTAATTATCATTTCAGATGAATAAATATATAAAACCCTTATTCACACTGTATACCTTTCAGCACTCATTACTACAAAAAAACTAATCTATCACTGTAGGTAGCTAATAGTAGATTGCATTACATCTTAATGATGCCATCACACCATGTACAGCTGTTTATTTGCAGGCAGCACCATATTGCATGTTAAATTTAACTTCTGTCCAGTTGTAATCCAAGTACTCCCACCCTCCCTATACAAACACAGCTGTCAGGCCTTGGATAACAGATCACTAATTAGGTGGTATTTATTTTAACTCCATGTAGTTATTTTTCTATAGAAACTGGACTGAATGTCCAAACTAGAGAGGGACCAATCAGTAAAACTTTCATCAAGATGTGTTTGTCAAAATAACACCCAAAATATTCAAGGGAATCCAAAGATGTGACTGTTTAGCAAAAACAACCCTCACAACCATTTATTGTTTTTTTATTTTATTTTTTTTTTTTTTGATAATTTTTTTGATAATTTACGATGTAGTACATTTGTCTTAGAGGTAATTATTATTTTATGTTATACCCCCCCCCAAAAAAAAAAATACTAAAAAAGTAAAACTTTGTGACACTTGATGTATTTAGTCACTCCACTCTTAAAAAATTAAAGCACACGCGCACACACACACACACACACACACACACACACACACACACAGTCTCTCTCTCTATTTTTAGCAGCTGCTACCCCATGGAGGGAGATCGAGAGAGAGCTTGGGCCTATTATTAAACTCTCCTGTGCTTTATCCCAGAATTCCTTTCATCACTTCAATCTGATTAAACACCTCCGTCAACTGCCAGTGTTTTATTGCGCGGGACAGATGGGTATAATAAGAGAGTATATACGCTTTATGCTGGCTAATCTTCACACCTGATGTGAAATACTGGGAATACTACTACCTCAAAGATGGTCAAGATTTTTCAGTACACAACGCAAGTGAGCTTGTAAGTAACTATATCAAATCAGCTTTTTTTTCTTCTTTTTTTTCAGAAGCTCTGTCAAATATATTATTCATTTACTTGATATCTGTAGTTGTATTTTCTGTTTCTTTGGTTGTTTGTTTGTTTTTATGCATTGGAGCTTTAGTGACAAATTATGTAAATCATGTATGTCAGTACTGAGTATAAATTGTTCCCTGATCATGTATGCTAAAGTGTGATACCAGATTAGCTTCAATCTGATAACTATACAGTATGTATACAGTATGTACATCCTGACATGTTCACTTGTCTATTCCTGTACTTAAGTTATGTGTGGTTTATGTTGTTGTGTAGATAATATATTAGTTGGTATTAAATATATATTAAATTGCATTCTTGTGCTCTATTTCAATGCATTTGTAACTTTTCAGGCATCTGTCATTTAATTAAATTTGCAAGATTTTTTTTTTTACATCGACTTAAGGCCTTTCATATCCCAATATGTTAGCTTGCATTCTTTTAAGGCATATATTATTCCATTTAGTTAACTACAAATTTCTTTTTATTATTATTATTATTTTTATTTTTTTTTTTTTGCACAATGGATGTAGAAAACACATCCCCAACCACACTGTTCCCATCAAAACAATTGGCTGGCATTGTTTTTCCAGGCTGAGACAAGTGTTAAGCTTTAGCTCAGGCAGGGGCAGCGCAGGTGGCGAGGTGGAGGGTCATGTGAAATCAGCCTCCTCCAGTCTCCTCAATACTTGGCAAACCTCACTAACATATCACAGTTTAATCAGCTCCCTAATGATTTCAGAGTATAATAGATGTTATACACAGTTAACTGTTATGGATTCTAACACTGACAGATGAGATACAATTTGTCCTGGGACAAAACAGATGAATCAATTTTCTGCTAAAATGTAGCACGTTTTTATTCTAATTTCCAGTCTCAATCCAAGCTTAGACTGATAATGTGTGAAAAAAAAAAACAATTACATTATGATACAATTTGTAACAAAGTTACCAATCAATCTGTTGATTATATAATTACACAATGATACAATCTGATACAATGTTACCACTCAGTCTGGTTCTGAAACAATGTAACAATCAGTCACTGCAGCAATACCACATCCCCTATATCTCAATCAATGTCACTACTGCAGCAGTAACAGATACAAAGTACCAACCTCATGTGATCTTGAACCAATGAAACAAGCCATCTCATATATCCTTAGATATCCAAACAATACTAATTGCTTCCAATTGCATGATTTTCTTCACAGATCAATGACAATATTGCCCAAAATAATTGGTTTACTGTGTATACAGGAAGGACAAGGGTGGTTATGCAAGCTTGTTTCAAGCCCAGGGGCCATTTAGTTAACTACACCATTTCTGTTACTCCATGTGCAACTACAAATTGCTGCAGTTTCTCAATAACAAGCCCTGTCTACGTAATTGAGTTTCTGCAGCCTATTGCAAATGTACATGACTGATGTATTTATCTCGTGGTATTTATCTCGTGAAGCAAATTTGCTCCATAATTCAAAGACAACATATATGTTTTGTGGCCAGTTGCTGACCTCCACTGTTTGGCAAACATCACTTGCTTCAGCATACAGTGTGTTTACAAACAGCAAGGGTTGACTGTACTATTATATAAGAATAATTGGATCATTACTTTTCTGAGATTTTTTTTTTTTTGCAGTTGTCAATCACAATCATGTGGTCTTGACCCTTTTTGAAATTTTAATAGGTTTTTAATATGCAATAAACATTTTTGATGACAGAAGGTCTGAAACGGTTTCTATACTAGACACCAATCTTTAACTATTATTATTATTATTATTATTATTATTATTACCCTTAGTGTGTGAATTATTTTCATACATTGAAGTCAGGATCAAAGCAAAAAGCCCTTTACAAATATGACTTTGATTTGTTGACAGTATCGACATTTCCTTACTGAAATCCACCTCCCTTGCGGCTATCTGTGCCTATATTGTGGAGGTGAGATATGTGATCCTGTCTTGGCATCCCTGTGACTTCAACCACCTGTGCCTTTGTTAATGACAAAAGACATAAATCACCTGAGGTAATGTTAATATCCCTGTCTGTGGAAAAGGACAGTTCATATTAATATGCTCGTGGTGAGTACGGACTGGATAAAAGGGTGCAGAATTTCACTCAAATTGGGTGAGAAAATTGATTTCAATCACTGAAAAAATCAAATAATATGAATAAAATGATAACCAAAGCAGTTCCATCAAACTGTTTCAAAACAAATAAACAATTTTCTGTCATGTAGCAATCTCCATAGCAATATAATATACTGTATCAGTGATGTATGATTTCATACAGACATCTTGAAAGTCAAATTTCATATCTAACTGGGGAAGTATCAAGCACGTAAATCTCAGGGTAATATGAGAACTTTTCCACCTGAGTTAACTTATAATCAAACACTGCCTGTCAATACTTCCCCAGTCTCTACAAAGATATCTTTCAAATATTGGCTTTCATCTTTCACAAGGACACAGATATCAGCTATGATTTTACAGTGTTTGTCAATGATTTTTTATACCCAACCAAGTTTGTTCTGTGCTGAATCAAAATTATCGCTACGAAATAACAGAAATTATTTCACCAATGTTGTTGCTAAGATCTAATAAACGGATATTAGATCTTAGGTTGTTGTTAATCAGAATAATATTATGGCCACTGAATCTAGAGACAACCGTAAATTAATTCCAAATAAATAAATAAATAAATAAAATAATTAAAACTTTTATTCATGTTTTCTTTTTCTGTGACCATTAAAACCTTGGACTAAGAACCCTAGGGCAGTTGGTAAACACCTGTCAATGTTCTACCATCCCTGTCAATACTCCGCCCCCTAATTGTCCTGTGTTTGTCCAAGCCCTGAGTATCAATATTTCACCTGGCCACTATACTGACCACAGGTCTGTGTTCTCTGGTGTGTCAATATTGCTAGAAGTAATGGTGTGAACTGAGGCAGATGATGGGGTGGAACGGATGAGATAACACAAGAGTCAACACTGCACCAGTCCTGCAATTGCCATGTTTGGACATCAGAGATTAGATCTGGGAGAGGGATTGCTCAGAGATGAAGTGGGCCTCTCAAAAAAGTCTAAAAATGCAAGTGGAGGTGTGGATCTCTAGATGGGGAAAGGGGAAGGGGGGCATATATACAATGCCCAAATATCTGGATTTTCAGATAAATTGGGAAGATTTTCACCTCTGACTGTTACTTTGAGTTTCAGAGAACACTTAAAACACACTTCTACAATCAGCATGTATTAATTTGCCATTTCTGTTTTTTTATTGTAGAGATTAATTTCCAGTTTTCTCAGAAATTCAGGGTACTGATTACAGAATACTGATAGGCAGCTTGGACTAGTTTTATGAAAACTAAAATTGTCATCATAATGTCCTTTGCTTAGTATATACCTTATTACGAAGTTTTCAGGATTATTCACAGATCTTTATTCTGCATACTTTCAATCAGCCTCTTTCTTTCTTGTTCAAATTAATTTCTCTGCAGTGTGAATCTGAATGAATATCACATAAAAAGAACTGAAATGAAAAGATGAATAATTCTTTTTAAGCAAAAAAAAAGGCCTAGTTTCCCCCGATGTCACACACGTAGTAGAACTCTTCATTTCAAGCCCAATATATCACTCACGATTAATTACATTTATATAATGTAGGCATTTGAATATTCCACGGTGAAGGAAACCGTGATTTCTTGTCCATACTTCAATCCTCAATCCAGGAAATCCAAGGTAATGATATAAAAATATTGACTATATTCAGCTAACATTTCCTTTCCCAGAGAGCTTGGCTTTCACCGTGAAAGGTAGATTCAGCGATACTGTTGGTGCAATTGATCTGTCTACTGTGAAGACACAGTCACACTTCACAGAATATAGACTGCATCAATATCATCAAAACATGGAACAAAATACACTCTGAGCTTAGTTAGGACCATCAATACTGATATTTGTTCCATGTTTTTACTTTCTCTCTCTTTTTCACTGCGTTATTTTTTTCATTTTTTTTTTCAGAAGTCTTTTTAGATTAGTTATGGTAACCATTGCAACAATCCATCTCCCTTAACAAATATCAGCTTGCAGCAAACAGAAACCCATGTAAAAAAAACACTAGAGGCTCTATGGTTGTAGAGTGTATGTCACAATGCAATCATGATTTTATGCAAGTTCTATCAAAATTGCTGTTCTAGAGGCTATCTACCTAAAATAATACAACATACAACCAAAACCTAACTTTCCACAAGAGGCTCTGTAGCAATCATGTTTCTAATAATTCACACCACTGCGCCTTTAAAGAAAAGAAAAAGAAAAGGAATAATTTTCCCCCTGATCCCTTTCAAGAGGCTCCATATTTCTCAATCATATGTGTTATGGCTTAGGCTGCTACAGTATACAAAGGACAATAAACAGGTAAAGCCTTAAACCAACACTGGCTATTATGGGCGTTGTTTGTTCAGGAACCCCGTTTGCTTGCACTGTGTACAAAAGGGGGTGCTTCAACCTGATTTCCTCATTAAAAGTAAGCAGGGAGAGTGTTTGAATGTTTCTGAGACATATTTAAAATTTGATGACACAGAGTGGCTTACGCTGCTATAGTGGATACTTGAAAGCTGGAGTGAGCCACTACGACATGGGGAGAAACCTGCTTCTATTGACCATGTGACGTAAAAGAAGGTAATCAAGATCTACTGTTCCCTTGCCTCATTAAGGGCAAGCGGAGGACGTGTCCGTGTTCAGACGTGCTCTAAAACCTCATTCCCAGGTTGATGACCCACTGTTTAATTAACTTGCTAGTGGCATATGACACCAGAGATTGCATGAGGCTTTACAACTCTACATCTTATAGCTATAACAAACGTCACCCACTGTCCTCGTGACAAGAACAAGACAAGAGAAAACAGCGCTTTCCTGTTGATTTGGGTCTTATGGAACCTTATTTTGGTTGCTCTTCCTCATCAGGCTGCTATGTAACAGTAAGTATTATATCAATTATGTTAATACCTGCATTTCACCTGCACAGATTAGTGTGAAACTTAAGACTCATTTAAAAAAATCTTTAAAAATTGAAAAGAAAAACAAGATTAACAAAGGTGCTGCTTAAGATACAGCCTATCTATTTAAGATATGTTATGTGATGACACTTGAAATCTGATGAAGAAACATATGGTATCATATTACCTGCCTCTAAATTGTCAAAATGTTTAAATATTTAAAGCTAGGGAACACTCATGTTTATTGAAGAAAAAGCAAACCCTAACAAGCAAAATTCCCAGATACTGGGAATGAAGCTCCTCACTTTTAAAAATAGCTTACATCCTCCTCTTAAGGCCAACCACAATTTACATTTTGTCAATTAATTAATTTTACACTTTGGCTTCTGTCTCTCTATTTCTCTTCCCTGACCCTACTACATACACAAAAACACATACTCTCAAAACACAAAAATTTCCAGATAATGGCACAGTTTCTCTGTAAATGGCTCCCTGGAATGTGACTGTTCATCAAAGTCTGCAACAGATTCCTCAGAATGTCAATGCACAGTTAAAATATCAGGTTGGCAGGAGACTTGGGCTGATCGATGAACTTAATCATCCATAAAGCTGGGATTTTCTGCCCAAATTGCCTCTTTCTAGAATGTTCTTACAAGGCATAAATATTCTATAGTGGCTGTGTGGTTGGACTGAGATTTGAGTCAACCTGACAGAGACTGCTGTATCACGTTTATTGTATTTTACAGCATGTGTATAGATTTCCTTCTATAATTTTCAATTTTTCTCCAATTCAATCTCTCATAACATTTGTCACATTGCCTCCTTTACTATATATGTTCAAAATTTCATAATATGACTTGACGTCTTAACAATTATACTATTTCTTGGCTATGTTACAGAATATCTAGTCATATGTAAGTTGGATAAGTGAGATTAAAACTACTGAGATAAAAAATATGAACAAAATTATAAAACTTAATCAAACACAATTTTCATTATTTTTATTCTTTTTTATTTTATTTTATTTTATTATTTATTAATTTACTTATTTATTTATTTATTTATTTATTTATTTTTTGCACAGAACTAGTTCTTTAGATAAGCAAATCAGGTTATAAAAAGGGTAAGCTAAAAATTACAGAAACTCATAGAAATTCACACACTTATTCAAGTGTAAAATTCATCTTGGGTGCAGAACCTCCAGATTTGGTGGCATTCAAGCCTTGTTTTGTGAGTAAATCAAGATGTCCACAACATGAAAAAACAACCTGGCATGCAGTTACATATGTAGAGATATAATTAACTATTATACACAGCAGGGCCCTTTTGAGGCCCCTCACAGTCATTACTATGTATGATAATAATAACACATTCTACGGTAAGTGATAGGTAATTTTGTTAAACAAAGCATCTCGATCAGCTGCAGGGGGGGCCCACTATACTTCATTTTGCCTGAAGAACAGAAAATATTCTTTCTCTTTGTTTATTTTTGCCAAATATCATTAACACAACCAACATGGAAACCGTTTTCACGCTTTTTGTTAAAAAATTACATTAGTGTGAACCTCATTATAATACTAGGCAGACAAATAAAAAGAACCCATTAATGTATTATCAATACAACCCAATAAACAGGTGCCTAAGGTTTAACAGGTACTCAAGCTTTTATTAACAAAAAAGGCAGGTTTTAAGCTGATTAAAGGCTTTCAGTTGCACTTAAGGCTTAGTCATCATCAAGTTGCTAAAAGGGATTCCAGGAGGTTTTAATAAAGAATGGATTAATTGTCAGGTGATGTAGTTAGTAACTGAAAAAAAAAATATTCATAATCACTTAGATTGATTCAGAATTTATCTGATGTGGTGGGATAAATGAATGGCAACAGCAAAGAATTCACCAAAATACCCTGTGACTCAAAAGTTTGCTTGGTATTAACATTTATTTTTATTTTTTATTTATTTATTTATTTTTTGGGGGGGGGTGTGTGACAATAAACATGTTTTTTCCCTCTCTCTTTTTCATTTGTTTCCTGAAAAATATACAGAAAATAAAATAAAATAAAAAAAACTTTAAGTTAACACAATTAAAACCAATCATAAATTATATTGGAGCTGAATTATTTTTCAGCCAAGATAAATCAAAACAATTTATTATCAAGACTAAGTTGCAAACCCAACCCAATTAATAGGATTATTTCTTCCTCATTAAGTATCAATACATCACCAAATTATACAGGAAAAGTTGTAGGGTTTGATTGAACTAAATCAACATTTATATAGTGGTACATTTATCAACTGTCCGACCCATTAATCCCATTAGAACTCAGTCATCTGGTGTATTAGTTTGCTGATAAGATCTTAGTGCTATGAAACAATGGCATTTGTGAATTAAACTTTTGTTACACAGGCATAAATAGAAGTAGTTTTAGTCCTGTCTATATATAGTGCCAAATCAATATGTTGAGAAACATATATGCCTTGTTATGATATCTGGGAACTGAGACACTGTATTGATAACTACTGAAAATTAAGGTGAGGTCATTTTATCAAATATCTAACAAACTGGCAAATTACTGAGCAGTCTATTTATAATGGCTAGCAAGCTCTCTCTCTCTCTCTCTCTCTCTCTCTCTCTCTCTCTCTCTCAGCTACACACATGCATCATGGGATATCTCGTACATGTGCCAAAAAGGCAAAGGTTATGAAAAACTGTTAACAAAATTAGAAATGACCGATGCACAAAAGCTTTTAGTTTCTAACCTAATCTTACAAACTAAAACGTCTAAACCAAATAAAGTTCTTCTCGAGAGGTTATGTTGACAGATTTCCTCAGAATCAATTCACCCATACATATCCTACAGAGAACAAAAATAGATTTGGCAGCCCATTTCTGTCCTCTGAAGGGAGTAACCTTGGTCTCCGTGATCCTTCCCAGATCAAATTAAACAGAAGTGTGTGGACTTTTTCACAGTTTTACTGTTACTAACCGGGATAATTTTGTGAGGACCAAGTGGTTTTTTAATTGCTGTCTGTGAAATCAGTGCCAATGGGAACAGAAGCAGGCACAGAATATATACAGATCAGCAAGAAAGGGCCCGGGTGCTAAGAATGACTTCAGACACAATTGCTGGTGCATATTAACTCAAAGGTGACTCCTGCTTAATGCAATCAGATTAACAGACTGACATGCCTTCTACTGGCGTTAATTAGAATACAGAGAATTAAGCTTATGATTATATGAGTATGTTGGAGACAAAAAAAAAAAAAAAAAAAAAAAAAAAAAAAACAAAAAAAAAAATAAAAAAAAA